CGTTATATTCTCCTATTACGAAAAGGCAAAAGTCGAGATCAAATCTGATGAATTTTAAATTTTCCGCTGGAAATCCGTGCTACGTCTTCGCTCATTATATTCTCCTGTTACGAGAAGGCAAAAGTCAAGAAAATGAATAAATCTGCAGAATTTTAAATTTTCCGCTGAAAATCTGTGCTACCATTTCGCTCGTTATATTCTTCTATTACGAAAAGGCAAAAGTTGAGATCAAATTTACTGAATTTTAAATTTTCCATTGCAAATCCGTGTTACCTCCGCTCGCCGGAGGCCGCCTCCTCGGCCGCCTCGGGCTCGTCTTCGAACGCGCGGGGGGAGGCGGGTGGATATGTGATACCCGCCTCCCCCCTAGACGTCGGATAGGGTAGGCGAAGGGGGAGTGGAAGCCCGGTTTGGGGCTGGGCTCCACTCCCCCGCCCACCCCTCCTTCGGAGGGGAGCAATGGGGGGCGCGGAGGGAGGGTGGATGTCTCCTCCCTCCAAGTATATGGTAGACATCACGCAGGGGTTTTAGTCAGTAAGAGTCTGACATAACCCCCGACCCCCCCAAAGGGTCAGGGGTATCCATGATGGATTTCCCCTGCGTTACCAAAAAAAAAAAAAAAAAATCCGTGTTACCTCTTCGCTCATTATATTCTCTTGTTACGAAAAGGCAAAAGTCGAGATCAAATCTGATGAATTTTAAATTTTCCGCTGGAAATCCGTGCTACCTCTTCGCTCATTATATTCTCCTGTTACGAGAAGGCAAAAGTCAAGAAAATGAATAAATCTGCAGAGTTTTAAAATTTCCGCTGAAAATCCGTGCTACCTCTTTGCTCGTTATATTCTCCTATTACGAAAAGGCAAAAGTTGAAATCAAATCTAATGAATTTTAAATTTTCCGCTGGAAATCCGTGCTACCTCTTCGCTCATTATATTCTCCTGTTACGAGAACGCAAAAGTCAAGAAAATGAATAAATCTGCAGAGTTTTAAATTTTCCGCTGAAAATCCGTGCTACCTCTTTGCTCGTTATATTCTCCTATTACGAAAAGGCAAAAGTTGAGATCAAATTTGCTGAATTTTAAATTTTCCACTGGAAATCCGTGGTACCTCTTCGCTCATTATATTCTCCTGTTACGAGAAGGCAAAAGTCAAGAAAATGAATAAATCTGCAGAATTTTTAATTTTCCGCTGAAAATCCGTGCTACCTCTTCACTCGTTATATTCTCCTATTATGAAAAGGCAAAAGTCGAGATCAAATCTGATGAATTTTAAATTTTCCGCTGGAAATCCGTGCTACCTCTTCGTTCATTATATTCTCCTGTTACGAGAAGGCAAAAGTCAAGAAAATGAATAAATCTGCAGAGTTTTAAATTTTCCGCTGAAAATCCGTGCTACCTCTTTGCTCGTTATATTCTCCTATTATGAAAAGGCAAAAGTTGAGATCAAATTTGCTGAATTTTAAATTTTCCACTGGAAATCCGTGGTACCTCTTCGCTCATTATATTCTCCTGTTACGAGAAGGCAAAAATCAAGAAAATGAATAAATCTGCAGAGTTTTAAATTTTCCGCTGAAAATCCGTGCTACCTCTTTGCTCGTTATATTCTCCTATTACGAAAAGGCAAAAGTTGAAATCAAATCTGATGAATTTTAAATTTTCCGCTGGAAATCCGTGCTACGTCTTCGCTCATTATATTCTCCTGTTACGAGAAGGCAAAAGTCAAGAAAATGAATAAATCTGCAGAATTTTAAATTTTCCGCTGAAAATCCGTGCTACCTCTTTGCTCGTTATATTCTCCTATTACGAAAAGGCAAAAGTTGAAATCAAATCTGATGAATTTTAAATTTTCCGCTGGAAATCCGTGCTACGTCTTCGCTCATTATATTCTCCTGTTACGAAAACGCAAAAGTCAAGAAAATGAATAAATCTGCAGGTTTTAAATTTTCCGCTGAAAATCCGTGCTACCTCTTTGCTCGTTATATTCTCCTATTACGAAAAGGCAAAAGTTGAGATCAAATCTGATGAATTTTAAATTTTCCGCTGGAAATCCGTGGTACCTCTTCGCTCATTATATTCTCCTGTTACGAGAAGGCAAAAGTCAAGAAAATGAATAATTCTGCAGAATTTTAAATTTTCCGCTGAAAATCCATGCTACCTCTTTGCTCGTTATATTCTCCTATTACGAAAAGGCAAAAGTCGAGATCAAATCTGATGAATTTTAAATTTTGCGCTGGAAATCCGTACTACCTCTTCGCTCATTATATTCTCCTGTTACGAGAAGGCAAAAGTCAAGAAAATGAATAAATCTGCAGAATTTTAAATTTTCCGCTGAAAATCCATGCTACCTCTTTGCTCGTTATATTCTCCTATTACGAAAAGGCAAAAGTCGAGATCAAATCTGATGAATTTTAAATTTTGCGCTGGAAATCCGTACTACCTCTTCGCTCATTATATTCTCCTGTTACGAGAAGGCAAAAATCAAGAAAATGAATAAATCTGCAGAGTTTTAAATTTTCCGCTGAAAATTCGTGCTACCTCTTTGCTCGTTATATTCTCCTGTTACTAAAACGCGGAAATTGGGAAACCGAGAGATTGTTGGATTCTTAATATTTGACTTTTATATCAGGAGAATATAATCAGCAAAGAAGTAAGCATAATTTTCAGATGGGAAGTTTGAAATTTTTCGTAACAAGAAACTATAACTTGCGAAGAGGTAGTTTTCGGGTAGGAAAATGTTTTCGATATTTTGTTGTTTAAAGAAACAGGATAAGGAACAGGAAATGAGGAAAGAGGACAAATAAAAAGAAACTTACTTAAAATATGAACATTTTTATTTTCCTTTGTATTTTAATACAATATGTACAATATAATAAATAATGTGAGCATAATATACAATATAAAAAATGTGTAATATAATACAATGTTTTTTTTTTACTTGAATATATGATTGTTTGTCTTAACTCTTTGTATCCTGACGATACTTCAAAGTACCGCTCTATATATGCGCTCTTGAACCTTTTTCCCGTGTCTTACTCTACATTCCTGTCGGTTACTTACAAACACCACGTCAAAATTTAATCATTGGATTGTTACAAAATTTATTTCCCTGCCTTATGTTTAGGTTTTGCCAAGAGGTATTTAATTACGCAAAAATTTAATAAGGTCTTGGGTAAATTAATTTAGGATATGAAGAGTTAAATTGAGGAAGATAAAAAGTTACTATAAAATATTATTGTAATAGGCATTAATTTAAAATGGAATAACTTAAGTAAGATATATCACACTATTTTGCCTTACAAGTATTGCAATGATATGTATGCAATCAACTTAAAGCAACAACATAGATGATTAAAAATTAAAATTTCTTATATAAAATCATGCGTTAATGTCTACTCAAATTATAATTTGTCATATTTATTTTCATATTTCTAACTAACAATATAGCTATAAATTAAAATTTCATCTTACTTCGTTGATCTGATGCCACTAAAGGACTTTGCTGGATTACAATTAGTACATGTCGCCCCCACACACTTAGAGCCCTTCAGCTATGCAGGCTTTTTTACTGTATCGTCTGCCGGTGTTTGTTTATCGATGTATAATTTGGAGCGAGATCGTGTCTCTGAAAACATACATATAGTTTTAATTAATATCTACACTATGTCAATGTATTTTTTGGCACGTAAAATATCGTTCTTCGTTGCCATTTGAGGAAAATTAAAAGAAAAATGAGAGATGATAATTGTATAATATATTAGTTCACGATGTGGAGTGTTAAATCGTATCTTAATTATCGTGTTTCCTTTAAGAAATCTAATATCTACAAAATTTTTAAGGTAATAGTATAAGTTATTAAATAAAAGCTTGCTCTAATATCTGCTACAATTATAAATTCTCGTATTTTCTTATATTCGCAATTAACGATAAAGATTACCATTATTTGATGATGGCGCTTACCTTATTGAATTCTGGATGTTGAAATACATTTCTTGACGTGTTGACGTTTTAATACTTACCACGTTAAAGTCCGTCGTAATCGTTAAGCGTTCAATCCTATCTTTTATTCGACGCATTTGCTTGTGATTAATTTTATTCATAAAAATGTCTTGTAACATATGTGTGTTATCGCAAAATGCTTACATGCATGTAAATTAACAATTAAAGACATGAACATATAATATAAATGAATTAAAAGGAATTGGAGTGAAATAATGATGTTGCGCAGGATCGCAGACCGAACTGATCGACTACGAATCTTGTAGGATGATTGAAAAGTTTATCCCGAATTATGTATGTATATTTGTATATACATATATAATTTATTCGAATAATAGAAAAGTGTTTATTGAGTATAGTGTTATATATTACAATGGTAATAAGAATGGTAATAGTGTCGATGTTTATGAAGATGATAGGTGGTGGGATGGATAATAATGATAAAACTAATGATATAGATCCTGTCTGTAACAAATGATAAAATTTATATCGTAAAGCAAAAAAATATTTATAAATTTGATGAGCTTTGGATATATTGTATAACAGTTAAAAATAAGACACGTATTTGTTAATTGATTTTGTTCATATGTATTCTCTCCTAAATATATCTCACAATTCTCACAATTTCCATCATGATTTATAATCCATTTCGTTAGACGATACGATAAATTATTATTGATGAGATAATTCTCAAGTAGTTGAGAAAATACATATGAAAAAACACGTCTTACTTTTAGCTGCTCTACATATGTAAAGCATATGTAAAGCCTGTCAAAACTATTGAGGGATACTTTCAAACATTTCCTCGTTAGAAAAGCTAGCAGCCTACTGCCGTTCCTATCAATTAATTCGGATAGATCTCTTTGATTATCGACATACCTGACATACATAACCTGAGCATGTTGTGTGAGATTGCTACAAAGACGATATTTCGTTTGTTCATGGATCTCGTTCAAGTCTCGGTGTTTGAAGGATGCGCGGTATAGAAAGAGTACTCCAACACGATTTATCCTGCTAAATGGTTATCAATTCTACAGCTTCTGTATTGTTTACACATAAATTATAGAATAATAATATCTCTAAACGTTTCTTTCGATGTTCTGTGAAATTGTACAATAGAGTTACAAATAAAGATAAAGCCATACCTTACGTACAATCTGATATTCAGTCTTTGCTAATGTTACGTAATACGTGCGAAAGAAGTAATCGTTAGACTGCTATTTAAGATTAGTTATAATCAAGATACCGGAAGCATAAAACACTATTCAGCTAGCTTTACACAAGATATTGGTCTGTTCTTCCATTCTTTTTTTTCGTTTTTACGAAATCGCCAAATTACGGTTATGATACAATGTTTCTACATTATCACCAGTGTCGGGTCTAATCGCATTTATCGTAATACTCCTGAGAAACTGTTAATCCATTGTCTTAATAAACTCGATCGCGGAGCAAAACTGCGTCCACCAGTATTGTTCCTCGCCCTCCAAGCGGTTCCCATAAAAGCTGTCTACGTATTGAACAGTCGATAGCAATGACGGTGGATTAGTCTGAAATGGGACAAGGTGAATTACACGCGAATTGCTCGTTCTGCATGCGTAAGCAAGCACGCGTATGATCCTCTCTCTCTCTCTCTCTCTCTCTCTTTCTCTCTCCTCTGCCGTCCGATTACGCGCTTACCTTGATTATGACATAGACTAGCACTGGAATCAGGTCATCGGCGGCGGGTATTCCCCTTTCCGACGCCATGGAGAGGAGATTCATGATGGTTGTCGCGCAACGAAACACACACTGCAGCTTATCCCTAGGAGTCTTATACGCCGATATCACAGCCAATTCAGCCTGCGCCCACGGCCAAGGGCATTCGTAATGATAGACCTTTGGAATACGTAGGTCCTTGTGATTTGGAGTTACGACCTTCGCCAACTTCTTGATGTGATCGTGAAGGAGCTGGTCCCTATATACATCCCCGTCTCCATTCGGATAGAGCGCATTGTGGTACACTCGCGCCATCACGGTCCTTTCTACTACGGCTCTTGCCAGATCTAATTGGCTAGTACTAGCCGCTGAAATTTAGAAAGATATGTTTGCAGTGGCTTCTAAATCATTTGCGAGTAAAGGATAAGCAATAACATCTACTTACATTGCCAGATCGGGTCGTTATCCATCTCGGCGTGCACCTTCCCCAAAAAGTTGTCCACGAGATCTTGCTTCTCGTCGGCCAGCGTGAGCTTCTTGAATTCATCGCAGAAACGCAAGATGAAAGCCTCTCTTTTCTCCAAGAACACCCTTACACAGACGGACACCAGGTGATTATTGACAGCATCTCGGTCGCATTTGACTCGCACGCATAACCTGGAAGATATCAGCATTTAAACGGTGGCTTATCTCACATCGATTGCGTATACTATAAGACGATCTATCTTACCTATCTAAGTGAGCTAGTGTCGACAATAAGCCTTGACGACATCTGATTAAATATGCGATATAAGGAGAGCGCTTCTGATAATCCTCTCGCAAGGACTTGAAGAGCTTCCTACATCCTTCGTCGTTAAACAGCCGCACGCAACGTAAGGTCTCGTGCAAGTGAGCAATTAATGCTCTGTCCTGCAAATTTATAGCTTCTGCCAGCTGCAGTTGCAAAAAGGCGACTAGCTCGTTCTCTTTCTGGAGCCAACAGTGCCTCTGGAAGGGAGAAAAGTATTCATTATATCTTCTTCGACGGCTGAATTTTATATTTTACACGACATAAGACAGCGTACAAATACCTCAGTAAGCAATACCTCAGAAGTATTCCACGGAATGTGTTGGAGATCTGCGGTACTAAGTACCATACGTAATTTCCTCTTAGCATCCGCGAAAGCATAAGACATCTCCACATTATTCGGATCGATGAATAATCTCTCGTCCTCCACCTCCTTTGTACGAGACTGATTGCTCTCCACCGAGGCTGTGTCACTAGTCGCGCTTGGTTTCCTTCTGTACTTTGCTAATATGTCGTCGGTGGTATCTGAAATTAATGAAAAAAAATTTGTTAGATTACTCTCCGATAAATTACAACTCCGATGAATTCGTCCTTTTCGCGGGTTATTTTTCTATGTATATCCAAATACTAAAATTACCAAATAAGACTATATATATATATATATATATAATCTTACCTCCTGCAACGTTACTAGCTGAAGTAACATCTTCCGACATAATCCTGCGTAATCTATGCCTGCATATATCGACGCCGTCGCCGCCGCCCTCTCGGTCGTAGCACCTGTCATCGGTCCCGCGAATTGCTTTGCCTCTGCGGTTCCTCAGTGAAAGCTTCAATTTTCCGAAGAAACTGCGCTTGTTCTTCTGGTCGTCGTCCAACAGCTCCTTGTCGCCGCGCTCGGCCGTCATGTCGAAACTTATGCTTTTCGGGATAGCACCGGTCGACGCGCTCGGTTTGGAGAAGCTAGGGCTCGAGCCGTCTATTACGTCGCAATTACCGTTGACCGCTGGCGTCGGTAACGGCAAATCCGACGCCGACGTGTTGCTCTTCATACGCGGCTCCGATCCCGAACTACTGCTAGATGTTAAACTGGCCGTGCTCAGTCGGCCCACAGCGTCTCCAACGGACGCCATGCAACCGTCCAACTCCTGATTGTCAGAGTGTGAATGTTAAAATCTTTGAGTACTTACACCGCGAGAGGATAATACACAGCGATAGAGAAGCAGCATGCGCGGAGATACAAACCTCAGCTTTCGCATCACCGTTCTGGGGTTTCTCTGGCAAAACAGGCGCAGAAATATGATTAGCTAACAGTAACGCTGGTGCGACTGCAGCCGCAACGATGTGATTGTGCGCTGTTCCCGGACGCTCGACTTGATGCTTACCGTTGTCGATTTGGAGCTTATCTATCAAATGGACCAGTCTGTCTTCTCGCAACGATTTACCGTAATCCACATTGTTAATGTTGTTTGCGTTCTTGTCCACATACTCCATGGTGCTGCGTCGGTAGTCGGATTTGGTTCCTCCGCGACCCGTTACATTGGACGACGAAGGTAACGGGGATGCCGTCGGGGATAGAGCCACTGCCGCTGCAGCACGTGTGTTAGAGTCCTCTCGAATACCCGAGGCTGAGGGGAAACTGATACCCGGGCCGTCTGGACCTGGAATCACTGTGAGTGATTCAAGTTATGGATATATATATATATATATATATTGCGATTAACGAAAGCCACCGAATGTCATCGAGCGACAAAGCGTGCGCTTGGTGCACTTACATGGTGTTGCGGACTGAAGTGTCTCTTCGTTTCCCTCAGAATCAGCGCGACTTTCGATTTCGATCTCCGATCGAGCTGTGTCGTCAGATCTGCATCAAGAGTATCGCGAGTAGATAAGTTAGGATATTGGTAGATGCGAGAGTATCTTACTTGATGTGTGATTATGTATATACGATAGAATAGTATACCTAGCGACACTGGCAGTGTCATCCGTGTCGACTTCAGTCAATCTCTCGGAATCGCTGGCCAGCACATCTGTACTCCAGGCTTCAGAAGCGGTCTCGCTGATGTCCAACATGGTCGGCGTAGGCTCGGCGGGCAGAACAGGTGGGACTTGTTCGGGAGGAACAGGAAGCGGCATTCGATCTTGTTGCTCAACTATCTCACTATCTGAGGCCAACACGTCCGTAGACCAAGTATCAGATACCATGGAAACAGTTTCATCTCCTAGAAAGCACAATAACATTATGCACAATATAAGCACATGGGTGTCTCAACATCGATATGAGTGATCTACTAAATAATTCACTTATATATGTTTTGTAATGTTCTTACCTTCAATAAGCTTCTTAATCTCGAATTTACAAAACTTGTCGTCAATCTCAGATCGGCTTTGTTTAGTTGGAATATTAGGCGGCGGCAAATCCAATTGCCTCACTTCACCTGCAGCACGACCATCGTCCCCTTCAGTGATTTGAGACGACGGTGTGTCTCGACCTAAAGAATGTGATAATGTGAGATACGCAAAGTGCAAAACTCCCTCGTTACTAATACTAAGAATATAAAGAAATATTCATAAAATCAGCATAAAAAGGTGTATACATACATACCTGATATATTTGGAGTTCCTCTTCCTGATACATTAGCCGATACCATGTCTGAGAGATTATCATTTTGATCTTCCGTCTCTAACTCGAGAGACGAAGCGACACTGTGATTGGAAGCAGCTTCTGACACAGCTTCCAGATTATCAGACGTATTACCAATTGACCCTTCGAACAATACTAATTACTTTTAATGTAGATGTGTTGTAGCCAAGCCAAACAATAGTTCGAGAGTCACATATCATGCCTATTTTTAATAACACGAAGCGAAAGTTGTGTTTTTAACAAAATGTACAAGCTTGAACATAATAAATATTAAATAAAATTATAGAAACGAATACTGCATTACATACACTCGCTAAAGGCGAGTTTAACAAAACGCAATAAATATTAGTCGCTCATAACTATTCCGAGAGGATATTGCTATCGTAATCAAGTCGGCGTTGCACAATATCAGTAATTGATATACCTTCATCATGTGACAGCGAAAATCGAGTCCTCTTCTCTTGCGTTTCGATACGCTCGACATTGCCGCTCTCTTGCCTGGTGTGTTCAGCAGATGCGTCATCGGGGAGATTCAGAGTAACAGGCCCATTCTTCATACCACTTTGGAGCTCCATGCATAAAACCTGAAAATAATTAACCAAATAGTATATTAATTATGTGTATATTTTCGCATATTAATTATGTATTTATTCGTATACGTACTTTCTGTTCGCTGAGTAGTCCGACAGATTCCCCAATTGTTGGGCCGAATGGGATGACTAGTACATCCTGAGTATTCTTGTCCAAAGTTTCTTCTTCGGGAGCAGAGGTGCCATTGATCTCCTCCCCACCTTCGGCTGTCACATTTGGGGAGAATGACGCTGACATCTTTATACCACGTCCTTTCCCTGCTATCAAACATCAGAGTATCAGTTTATGATATGAAATATGTTACTAAAGTAACAACACGTATGATATATAACATCAAGATACATCGTACATACCTTTCCCTGCGATAATACCTCGCTTATTCGGTGTCTCCATAGACTCGTTGTTGCCGAGTTTGTTGTTGTGCAACAAGCCCGAGGGTAATTGGGACAACATCTCCGCCAATTGCTTCCTATCGAATGTGCTCGTGTGCGGTACCGCTTCTCCGTTGCTCATGTCGATCGTGTTCAAAAACGTGATTAAAAAATTCAATTCAGCCTCCGTGAAAAGAGCCGCGGATCGTGACAGGCCTTGAAGCTTATTATTGTCGATCATCGTTGGCTCCTCGTCCAATTCGTCCGTCGCGCCGTCCAACATCGAGTCTATTATGGAAGATACCGAGTCCTTCTCAAATTTCTTGTAAAGATCGATGACTTTGCTGTCGATGCTCTGGTACTTCTGCAGTGAGAGCATCTGCAAGATCTGCCCGACTTGTATGAGATTAAATCTGGCGACATAGCTTATCGGTGCGTCAGTGATGCCGTAAGGTTCGGGATTCACGATAGCCGGACAGATGAAGTACGTGAATACGAGATCAGTGCACATGGCATGCACCTCCTTCGAGTCCACGTTCCCGTTCTTGCTGAGGAGCCCTGCCATTTGTCTTACGAGCCAGCAAACGCTCATGGGAAAGCAGTGCATCGTGTCGCGAATGTTGACGATGAAGCGTTGCGTGATGCGATACAGAGAATTCACCGTCCACAGCCGGTAGCGTTGTAGCTTTGCCTGATACTCGGGCGTGCCTTCCTTCCCGAATTTCTTCAATCTCTCCGTAGGTGGAAACCTTATAGGCGCCTTATCTGGGTCGATGTCCAGGAACATTTCGTCTTCCATGAGTAATTGCACGATGGGGTTGTGCAAGGCCGCCGTTAAGAAGAACTTGGCGGAGAAGAGGCTCTCATGAAAGATCGAGTAGAATCTTGAAAATGCGCACGTGCCGTGTCTGAGTAATCTCCGCGGGTTGTCAGATGGGATGATCTGCAGCAGCATAAGATGCCTGAGCAATTGAAGAACTAGATTCTTGTCCTCCGGTAATAGGCAGCTGCCGTATAATCCGGTGGCTAAACATTGTACAATCGCTTGCATCGACTCTGGTATGACCTTGTCGCCTTCGACCAAACATGAAGCCAGAAGTTTTGGTGATTTCCGCAAGGCACCCAGAAACTCTCCGTAGGACAAACATGCTTGATAACGCAGGTATTTGTACGCGTCGATAAAATGTGAGTTCTCCAATGCATTTGCTCGTAGGCAACATGACGCAGGAGTGCAATCTGGTCTGGCTACTATGAGACGATTCAGATTGACTCTCTGCTGAGCTGTTACCCACGCTTGCTGCGCTAATTGTGATGAGACACACAAGACCTAGGAATAATGCAATGATTTAATGCACTGCTCTCAAATGAGGACATACAATATACAAATTTATCTACTCAGAGAATATGTCATAATTTATCAAAACTATGAAAAATGTTCTGATCATTCTGAATCATTTATTAGATATTTAATAAATAATCTGTAGTAAGAGGAAAGAATTATAGTTTAGCTCCTTAAGAAGGATATTTCAAGGAAAAAACTGTATGCGCTCAAACCATGTGAACCAAAGAAAGCAAAGAAAAATTTTGTTCCCTAAGCATGATTCAAAGTTGAAATTTTTTCAATTTTTTACAGTCAACTTGTAAGTAGTGCTACTCAGCATCGTCAAGAACAATTACTGTCAAAGAGAAAGTTTGACTTACTTCAAAAGCAAAAGCTGTTATCCTTCAAATGCTTCTTGGCATATAGTTTTGCAATAACTTTTTGCAAAGTTATACAAGTTTAGATTTTAATATGCTTCCAACAGATTAGAAATGATCCCTTAACTTTATGTGTATGTGTGTGTGTGTGTGTGTGTGTGTGTGTGTGTGTGTGTGTGTGTGTGTGTGTATATGTGTATGAGAAGCATACATAAAGTACTAAGATTGATAAATGTATATCTAAACAATATTCTATTATGTTGCTAAATATAAACATATTGCTTACCCTTTCATTAAGAGTCTGAAGGTTCTGCTGTTCTGAATTGACAAACAATCTCTCCTGCCGCAAATGGCGTGCTAACTCCATCATGTCCCACTGCAATGTTCCGTGGGAGTCGATACTGTTAATCGATGACATTATTGAATATACCTTCAACATAAAAAAAGAGAATAATGTAAGAGACACATCGTTTCAGACTTGACTCACACAGCCAAGTATCAGATGTGTAGTTACTTGCGTGTTAATCCTTGTTAGTGATTTATCCTGAGCATTAATAACAATGAGGCACAACTACATGCACCGTATTTCACACTGAATCTCGACAACAGTCCCGAGCATATGTTTCATTTCTCGACTCGAGAAACAACAGCTGGCTCGCTCGCTCGCGCGCGCGACGCGTCACTTCACCTAACAGGGTAATATAGAAATTTCAGTTTCGAAGAAACGGCCGATCTAGGATATTGCATAATGCATTAGCAAATGTACGTTCGCGATCTCGCGATGATATCATGGGAATGGATTTCTCCTCAAGGTGAAACGGCGCGATCATTAGTCTCGCGTGAAAATCGCCGCGATGCATCGCAAGTGCGGCGCGAATGCGTACACACACGCGTGATTCCGATATCGCGACAGGCTTACGTTATTGTTGCATCCAGGTTCGCGTGCAAAAACCAGGGACAACTGTACAGTACGACGTATTTCGCGATTGTCGCTCCTTTGTCACGCGTATCTACGCACTCGCGACACGCCAAAGGGGAAACCGCGACTTGACCGATGCCCAACACTTACGCGTCGTCGACAACAATGCTCGTACGATTTGTTGTTATCGTTCGCTGACCAGAATAACACCCCCGATGACACACGATCATTTTCCGTGTAGGTTAGATTTTTTTCTACAAATAGCCGCAGGTGTTGCGCACTCGAGCTCGGCTCAGTGCTCGGGAGAAATCTCGCGTTCGCGGTGGGCGGGTTTCTAACGGTTCAGGTTTGAACAAGAATTGTCTAACGTCCTGTCTATTCGAGATGTTCCCACCGCATTTCAAGTGAAACAGGAATTAAACATTACGCGTCTATGTAAAGAAAATGTAAAAAAAATGTAACGAAAATAAATAAAGAACCAATAACAAAGTGCGGAAAGTGCAAATAAGACACGTACAGATACGTCAAGAGTTTGACATGTTATTTCTCGTTAATTGTAGAAAAAAATATTTACCCGACCTATTTGTACATGTCATGCTAATGAGGTAACAAAGTTTGTCGAACAAATCGTTCAGTCGTACAATTGAAAATGAAAGCCTAAATCATCGACGAGATATCTTTGACTAATGTGGTCTGTTCTTTTTAGCTGCACTGCGGAACTAATGTAATAAGTTAGAATGAGACAACTATATTCTTTCTCACTTCAACTTATTGCACCAGCTCAGTAGTGCAGCTAAAAAGAACAGACCAATGGTCTGTTCTTTTTAGCTGCACTGCGGAACTAGTGCAATAAGTTAGAATGAGACAACTATATTTTTTCCATAGCATAGCTCAGTTCAGTTCAATATATGACTCCCGGACTGCATTCAGCTTTGTCCATACGCCATTTTCCAGTAGTAGAAGAAGGTAAAAGAAAAACAGGGACAATACGCAGTCGCCACGATAAAAAAATATGCGTAGTTACAGATACCATATCCAACCGCTATGAAGGCGGAACTAAAGATTTCTATAGACTAAGGGCCAGACTTCTACATAATGCATAATACACAACGCATAAGAGAATCAACCAATCAGAGTTCTTCATTTCTGTCCTGAGGAGGGAAATGAAGAAAACTAATTGGTTTATTCTCTTATGTGTTATGTATTATGTGTTATGCAAAAGCCTGTGCTCTTGCCCATATTTTGTTTTTACTGTGCGCTCTCTCTTGCACATTCTCGATGGAAGGGGAATAGGGAAGGCAGTTGCTAATCTGCACGACAGTACAGTCGCTGTTTTTTTATTTTTTCCCGATATTGATCCGATTAATTGATTCCGATAATGATCAACCTAGATCACTGTGCCTTCAGCTCATCTCGAGATATATAAAGGTATAGACGCTGTACTGTCGTGCAGATTAACAATTGCCCCTCCGCTATTCCCCTTCCATCGAGAGTGTGCGAGAGAGAACGCACAGAGTGCACCCTTTTCTACTTCTAGCTATATCCCCACCCTTGAAATTTGGGAGAACGCGCAGTCTAGGTCAGGGTGCGGCGCCAAAATCCGGACAAATTAAACATTTTTTTGAAACATAATTATATGGGATAAATATTTGCGCGGCAGCATCTAATTAACTAGTACGATCATTTTGTTGGCGATCATTCGCAAAATATCGTCGATTCGTCTCTCCCGTCTGTTGACTGTGGATATTTGCAAAAATGATTATTATCTGAATACTTTTCTCATCTTTAATCCAACAGTTCGTCATTATACAAAGCTGAAAATCTCAGAACGGAAAGTGACGATCAAATCACACATGATAAGGTTTATATCATATAATAAATGTGTTAATTGCGTAATATTCTTTATTCAAAATATTATCAATTCTTTTATATAATTTCTTTCATATAAATATAATTATTATGTGTATATATAATATATTATATATATAACTATATATAATAAATGTAATTCTTTTATATAAATGTATAAATTCTCTAAAATAAATTCTATAAATTCTATAAATATAATGTATAAATTCTCTATGAATAAACTCAGAAAATATCAACGCTCAATTTATATTGTAACAACATCTCGTGTTGTAATAATCTAATACATTATATATTGTCATGTACATCACTTGCTTTCCTCTCCCCCCCCTCTCTCTCTCTCTCTCTCTCTCTCTCTCTCTCTCTTTCTCTCCCTCTCTTTCTACATGTAACGTATGCGTATATATACGCAAATACACGCGCAAGAAACATATTTACCTCAGTCTCCTTCTGTCTCGGTCTTCTCGACGGTAACATCGGACATGTCTGTAGATGAAGATAGACTCAATATTTTCTCACTTGCTAAATGTAAAAGAGAGACAAAAGCGAGCGGCACGCTCAACGCTTCGGCGTTGTTCTTTGTCAAATATTTTGGCAACATCTTGCAAACATCACTGAACGACTTTGGCTCCTTCATGGTGTCCGCTTCTGTCTGTTCTACCGCTTGTACGATATTCGTGTTACCTCCGCTATTCGTGGACTTGAGGCATCTCCAGGTGGACTTTTTTAGTTGCCGCATGTCGATTTTCTTCGCCTTCGTATGGTATGCGATGAGTATCTTATTGGCCAGTTTCGGTGCCTCGATTAGATTATCATCAGTGAAGCCTTGGCTGCCCAAGGCACACGCATTACCATCGTCCTCGAATTCGAAGTTACACTCGTTCTCATTGTCTTTATTGTCCCTACCTTCATCATAATCGCCGTTGTACACCTCGGGACAATAGTCCACAGTATCGTTTGGGTTGTTGTAATCATATCTGCTATTGTCGGATATGTCTGTGGCGACATCGTCCTTACCGTCGACCTTCGATTTAATGCTCAGATTTAGTAAATACCATTTATTTAGCAATGTAATATCATAGTGAATATCCTCGGGCAACGTCAGTTTCTCGGCATTCCATTCCGTTTTAACGGTGTTTGCTTTTAGCTTATTGAATTCGCTAGGCGTGAACTTCGATTCTATCACGTCCTTGTTGTCTTCGTATGATAGAATAATTTCTTTTCTTTTCCTCAGCGGCACTTGCATGCACGCACCGATAACCTTGCCGTCCTTGTCCTTGCCTACGAAAGCTTTTGAGAAGTTGTGGTACTTCCAATAAGACGGTCCAGCCCAATGCGAGCTCGTACTTGGCGGAACGAATGAATATTCTCGCGTGATAAACTTGAACGATTTAGCTGCAGTCGCAGCTGAGCCACGAGAGCAATCCACGAGATTGTCCGTATTTGTTGCAACTGGTCGTTGATGGCATTTATATGTATGCTGATCGTCCTGCGTTTCAATGTCGAAATATCTGATGAGATTAAGTGGTGAATTCTTATCCTCCTGTGCCCGTTCTTTTATGCTGGCGTCAATATCGAATCGGAAGTGATTCTGTCGATCGGTCTGGTCGTTGTTGCTGTGTTCCGTCACTGACGTGTCCGATACTTCCTCGTGTTCGTCCTTAGCAGACCAGCCGAGAAACTTGAAGTCCGAATATGACGCACATATTTCCAGGTTCCGAAAATCTTCGACTATAGGTATTTCATATTCTGTCGAATCAGCTGTGTCCTCTGGCTCTGCGACGTCAACGAGCATGTCGTTATATAAAGGCAAATAAAAGCCAGAGTTCGCGTGAATCGGCAGTGTCGCTTGATAAAGCATATCATTACTTTGTAGATCGCCCTCACCTATCATCATGAACGATGGTTTTACAGTTTTGATAGTACCTCTTAATTCTTCTATGATGCTGCACATATTCCGTCTGATTTTCTTTTTTCTTTTTTCCTTCGATACTTTTACACACGTGTCTGCATTTTCTTGGAGTACTTCCTCTTGCTCTTCCTCGTTTTGTTGCACACATTCAGTTGCTTGCTTATCCAATCCGCCAATTATCTTAAGCATTTTTGTGTGCAGACTGTCTACTCGTAACCCGTAAATCTTACTGCTTACGTCTAAGGATGCACTGGCTACTTGCAGATCAGATATATTGTTGTCTTGCTTTTTTATCATATATGTCATGAAGTCGATTATTTCCAAACTAAATGCGTTCTGTATATTAATCTTATTCTCAGCATGCATTTTTATATATTGATTTATGCTCTTGGTCATTTCAGATGCTGGGGCATTTACCAGACCCAAAGAATGTCTTCTGTTAAATTTAGGTGATACAAATGATGTAGACGATGTAGACATTTCATGTCGACGGGCAATACGTTCTGCCTCATCATCATTTTCCGAAAGAATATTCGGTAATTGTTTTTCAGTAATAGATTTCCTTCTTAATAGTAACGAAAAAACTGGAGATTCTTGTGGTGAAGATTTCAGCCTCTTATGTACATCTGATAATTTCGGAGATTCCATTTTAAACAACTTAAATATATCTATAACTTTGGTCTGAGAACCAATCCTGTTACTTTCCTGAAAAAAATAAGGATATATTGTTTCGACCACTATATGTTAAATAAAATGCATGCTATTAATATTATCGTATATCTACTTATATTGTAAATTATTATGAGTATACTATACACACATTAACTCAAATAAGCTTTCAAAGGATCTCTTAAAGGATTTTAGATTAATATAATTATTTTTATAGCAAATATATATTTTAAATATTTTGAATTAAAGTACTTGATATCACTTCTAAAGTTATTTAAAACTACTTACTACTGATTGATTGATTGATTACGAATTTGAAAAGCCATTTTTGTTTTTAGCTACTTTTGTTCTTAGATTGATACTAGAATTGCTAAATAATTTTTATTAATTTTAATTAATTAGCAGTGGAAAATCCCATTCTATTTTTGGAGACCTACAGAAAATAAATTGTTTAAAATTACTAAAAATATTTTATTTTATAATGTAACATTTGTTTTAAAAGTGGAATATTTTGATCATTAATGGATGAGGCTTCATATATGTATGTGTGTGTGTGTGTGTACCCAGGTAACAGACTGACGTCAAATGACGTACTAATGACGTCTCTAACGTCATTAAGACGTCATTTGACGTCAGTCTGCTACCAGAGTATGTGTGTGTGTACACAAATAATATTACATTGTACTCATCATTCAAAGCAGTGAAATTATTTGCTGTTTTCTCCGAATCGGCTCTTATCGAACAAAGTAATGTATAATGTCGCTGCAATTGATTATAAGTTTTCTATAGAACTTATAAGTTGCGTTCGCTATCTTATAGCTTGTAAAGGAACATCAGATGTACATCACGATCCAAATATATGTGACAACGTTCGGATAATAGTCGGGCGAATATATGAAGGACGTTTGTACGTTTCATCTATCATGTATCATTATATATTAAACCTATAAGAAAAAAAATAAAAACAGAAGCTTGGTAAAGACGCCGTACATTACACTGTATTCAAATCTTTTAGACCTTGTCTCAATGTCGCGATGTTAGTGAGTTTCACGCACATGCGCGACGAAATTGGAAGGAATCCAGTAACGTACACATATGAGTGGCCGCTTTGGCGGAATGTGATCGGCAGATAAGTGATGGGGCAGTAGGTTAATATGCCGATGTCTGGTCTATGCATGCTAGATAATTACGTATATATAGTAATATTGTATATTAAAAATTTTAAGTTTTTAGAATCTATACTATATATAATATACATAATATATATATAGACTGTAAAAAAATATTTTTCAGTAATGTTATGAAGCGCAACGATACCCCTGTATTGCTTGTTTAGATACTTCGGTGATGCCGAGTACATCACGCATGCGCGTGAAACCTCACCAATGTCGCATCATTACCTCGTTTACAACCAATCGGGAGCCGTCGTATGTTTTACGCGTGCGCACAACCTCAGTCGACACAAACATCAACGTCAAAAGATTTAAATACAGTGTAACGTACGACGTGTTTATCAAGTTTCTGTTGTTACATTTTTTTGTTATTTCTCTCGACTGATTGTAGACGAGGTAACGTCTTATACGTTTCTAAAGACAGTAAATCGGGATCTACAATAAAAAATGTAAAACTTGCGTTCCATAATATGCTGACAGTACTACCCAGACAGCACACGGATGCCCATTGGACGTCCGTTATATGTCCATTTTTTTTTACAAAAGACGTCCATAAGACGTACGTTTGTCACAACTTCGGACATCGGACGTCCTACAGGTCCGATGTCCAATAAGGACATCCTTGTTACGTCCAATTTATGTCCACGTAAATCCGACATACGAACATAAATTGGACGTGAAACGTACATCCATTGGATGTCCGGTTGGCTGTCTGGGTAAAGATGTATTTCGAAATCGAATTTTTTTTAAACTTTGTTTTAGTTATAAGATTGGTATTTAAATTAACTTAAAAAGGAACTGCATGAGATATATAAATGACCGAATTTGACTGATTTTTTATAATTATCGAACCGTTATTTGGTACTGGCGGCGCTGCAAATGTTGACAGACGCTTATTGCAGAAAAAGAAGGCTGCTAGCAGTCTATGGTTATACAGTCAAAGCGAGATAAACATGATTAATCTTTAAGCCTTATCAACAATATGCTCTTTGCTTTTTCTGTTGTTTTCTCTTTATCTCTTTTTGACTTCAACCTTATGCTTCGTGCTTGAGAAAGATAAAGAACAAGAAATAGGAAGCAGAGAGCACATTATAGATCAGGCTTTAAAGCACTAGAGAAATTTCACTGTGCGCTAACGCCCTCTTAGGGATATTGCGGCTGGAATATGAAACTGCAGCTCGAAACAAATATAGATGGTAAACAGATACGAAGTAATGGGAAAAAGATATCGGAAGGTATCAGGAAGGTAATTAACACTACCTTTTATTTAAGTTACATTCGAGAGAGAAAGGTATATAATTCAGGTCTTCGTATATCCCTATACGTTAGCATCGTATGATCTTTCTCTTCAAGTAATTAGAAAACGTACTTTTCGTTTCAGATCTGATGGAAGCTAATCTAACTTCACGACGAATGCAGCGGCAGTTCGGATGTGCATGGCAGAGAGTTCCGCAGGATGCGATTCGACACGAGTAAATTTATCTCGAAGGTGATTCTTACATTATCCTGCTTGCTGCTTTGCGGTCAAAGTATTTCTAATGAGCTCCGACGAGAAATAGGAAACTTTTCTAATTAAACAAACTTTTAATGTCAACTTCTCTGAATCGCATTATTCGTACGGTCACCGTACGGTATCGATTGAGAAAAATCGTATCACGATCGACAAGTACGATAATTAAAGAGAAAAGCCTGCACTTTCTTTTTTAAACGCTATAAGTGTTATATTTATATACAACTTCACACATATATATAATATTCAACAAACTTCATAAAAAAGTATTGACTTTTATGCGAGTTCACGATTTATGCGAGTGTAGCTACACGAAAGGAAAGTGAACTTTGCTTTCGAAAGTAAATATACCTGAGAACTAGAAAGCTGTAAAATCCTTGCGCCATTCCATCATCATTCTTTCCGAAGTTACAGCTCGTTGAATTATCGCCCGAAGGATCGCGGAAGGCGATACTTCAACGTTCGCCAAAGTACCAACCCGATCGTCGTTTTGAAATGTTGACAAATCGATAGCTCCCTGACTTCCGAAGTGAAATGATCTTCGCGCGTCGATCATCCATAGCGCGATGATCATTGCACTTCCCGAATTATAAGAGTACCATGGCAGCGATCCGTCGTAAAATCTCGCCCGTATAAGACTACACGCGAAGCTCGCTTCATGGATAAGGACGAGAATGAGGACATGGACACCGATCCGCTCAAGCGACGCAGTACGAGCGTGACAGATGACTTCGACATGACCTCTCACCCCTCGGTGACGTCGTCTATCGTGTACGACAGAGACTCCGTCTTCTCGAGGTCCGTACAAGCCGTCCGCTCGGAAACGGAGCAGCGTCCACCGTACAAGTCCGTCGGCAACATCAGCATCATGAATCAACTGTACGAATGATATTTATTAGCCACTTACTCCAATCCCGCGTTAATCCCGAGAGAACGTTGATGGCGCGAATCGCGCGAATTCGCGATTTGTCTCTAAACGAATAACCGTGACCAAAGACCCTCTCTTCAAAGTACCTCGTAACGTTACCTTCTGGCGGAGTAAGTCGCAAGGCGGACAGTTTTACAGGAAGACTGACAACGAGGTGCTTTGCATCTGCTACACCGAAGCCTACGATTTCTTGGCCGCGGGACTGGCGAACGGACTCTTGAAGTTCTACAGGCTCGCGACCGGCGAGGACGCGTTGACCCTGTGCGACGCCGAGATGATGCAGAACCCGGCGCCGACCACTGCCGTCAAGCACCGGCCGGTGCACGACTCGCACCCGATCACGCACACCGTAATAGCGACTTGTCAGTAGCTCTCTTTCGTTCTTGCGCGAACCGTACCACTTAGCCGACTCACGAATCCGTTCACGTAGATGCCAACGGTTGCGTCAAATGCTGGCATTACCCGACGGCGCAATGCCTCTACACGATACGCGAGGACCGCCAGACTCTTGGGCTGGCTTATCATCCGGTGCTGCCGAAGTTCGTCACCGTTGGCGACGACACGACTTTGCGTTTGTACGACGAGGAGACCAAGAGACGAGAGAGGGTATTTCGCGCAAGGTGATGAGAACTCAGCAATGATGAAATAAAATAGAGAAAAAAAAAGAGGAAACTGTCACTTGACGCTCGACCAGTGAGAGAGAGAGAGAGAGCTTCCTTCTCTCTTCCTCCGGGCGCAAGATGGTCGTCATCGTACATGACAATTACAATATCAATATATCGCACGAGATACATCTCGGTACAAAAGTTAAAGAAACATCCCGTGTGTACAATGAAGCGACGTTCGACCTTGAAACGCAGCGACTCTACGGATGTGATGGACGGCCACAAGTCCCGGGTCTTCAGCGCTCGCTTTAAACCAGGCTCTGCTCACGAGTTGATAAGCGGCGGTTGGGACGACACCGTCCAATTCTGGGATACCAGGCAAGCTCATTCCCTCAGGTATATATCGGGTGTGCACATGTGCGGGGATGGTCTGGATATCAGCAGGAACGGAAGAGAGGTGAGCTTGTTGGTACCCACTCTGGCGTTTCACTCTCATGACCGCGAATTCGAATTCTCGCTCGCACAGATCCTCACTTGCGCCTGGCAGAAGAACGACCCTCTGCAGCTGTGGGACTACGGTAGCGGCAAGCTGATCGGCAGCTTGGAACCCGACAGTTACCCCTCTCTGCTGTACGTCGGGAAATACGTGTCGAACATATTCGTCGCGTGCGGTGGCTGCGACATCGATCTCTTCAGAATCGTCGATTTGCGCTCGCACTCGGTGAGTCTCACAGCACTTCACGCGTCGCTCCGCTGTGCAGCGCATGGTGGCCTTTGAAGTGTCAACTTCAAGCGGCTTTGAGGCTTCAAAGGTAACGGGGAGTTTTTGAGATCCCGGATATTTAGTTCCAAGAAGAGGTGTGATTATACTCCACAGAGAGAGAGAGAGAGAGAGAGAGAGAGAGAGAAAGAGAGAGGGAGAGCTTCAATTCGCAATCCGTCGTGACTCGAGAACTGTGCCGTTAAAATTCGTCAGAGGACTCTGTCGTTACAATCGGAGCGACATTAAAAATAGACGACCGTTCTCATTCTGACAGATGCTAATCTCTCATCTTGCTAGGGCCCCGGTTGTTCCAACTTCTTGGTGAGTTAACTGATAATAAAATCACATGTTTATCTTTGTTTCTCCTTCGAAATTTTAGACGAAGACAGACATGACTTAACTATCAGTTAACTTACCAAGGAGTTGGAACAACCTGCCCCTAGACTCTTCTAACATCGCATGGAACCCATATTTATCTAACCATATGCTGCTTGCTGCGGCAGACTATGGCCATGATGAGGCACATGAGAGGCGGAGTGTACAGTTTGGACGTCGGTCCGTACCGATCGAAGTACTCCAGGCGAATGAGAGGCCCCGATACGCCCTATCTTCCGAAGCTCGCTTTCTGCGCCGGATCGACAATTTTTGAGGTAGACGCCCAATTCGAGTGACCGCACTCATTCTACAACTTATGCAAAAGTAAATCATTCGCACGGATGAGAACGTATCATGTGACTACACGACACTCGTGAATATCCAATTGTCACTCAACGCGTTGTAGACAATTGTCTCTCTTTCTCTCTCTCTCTCTCTCTCTCTCTGCGAGAAAATGCCCGTGACATAACGAGAGCGCTCTCCCGAGAGAATTTTTCCGCGACACGCGATGCACTCGGCGATCGCTCTTCCGTCCGCCATTTCATCTTTTTCCACGCAGCTCTCTCTCTCTCTCTTTTCCACGGGGCATTTTCTTCTTAACAATATGCTAATTCATGGTGTAACGTTGCCATTGTGTGGCAAATGACAGCGAGCATAAAATAAAGTCAAACAAAATCAAGACGAGCGAGGATGAGAATGAGACGATGAGCATTATTGACGGACAAGCCGGTGATGTTCGCTTCGTGATCGATAGCGCGCGCTATCGAAGGAAGCAACGCGGTCACTCTCAAGCAATAAACAATGTATTTTGTTTAATACAAACTATAGTACAAAATTTATACAGAACAACGTACGGTTTTATCATCATTTCTCATATGACAGCAATTTCTCGTATCGAGCGAACGCACACACTTAAGCAAGACTTAAAAGACGAGGGGGGAGGGCGGGTATAAGGGTGGACAGAGTGGAGCGATGGGACGAAGGAACGAATGGGACGAGGGGGAGAGGGATGAGAGGGGGGGGGGACAATCACTAAACTGAGCACATCGATTTGTGACAATACAAACTTACTTGACACGAGCAAATCCATCGGTTGACACAAGCGACTCTCGGTGTAGAAAAAAAAGACCGCTCGAGCGCGCGCGCAAACGCGCTGAGAGAGAGCAGAAAGCGCATCGTTTTCGTTTCTTTTCTTTGTTTTGGCGTTCGCGCCGAGGGCGACACGTTCTGTTTCGCGATGCAAGACCCTCGACGGGGATAGTTTAGTCGGACGATCCTCGCGTCTCCGGACTCCACGCGATGCAGGAACTGCGACGGTTCTCGAACGACCATCTCCAGCGTCTCCCATCATGAACGACTCGCGAATCGCGATTCCGAATTCGGTGCCCGTGTTGAATGAAGTACAGAGCACCGGAGGTCAGTCGTCGCGCTCAAATGAGGGATGTGTCGCCGTCGGTAGCGGGGGCATCATAAAGAGGAAAGAGGAGAGAGGAGAGAGAGAGAAATATAGATACTTCTCCTAAATCGCATCCGATTGTACTTAATCGTGTAAGTATGTAGTAGTTAATCTCTAGGTGCGATCCAACAGACTATTCGGGAAAACTACTACAAGTTCCAGCATCTCTTTCGCCTGTATCCACGTATCTACAATCTAAACGATCAACGAGCCTAATTTGGTTTTGAAACGTGTTTGTAATAAAATATATTTATACACGATAATCGCGACGCGCTCGCGAAGCTTGCGACGTGACGCGTCTCTTAGCAGCGCTCGCATTCGTCAGAGTATAAAATTGGTCGTCAAATGCGCGATCAACCGGGTTCTCCTTCGTCTGTGTGTTCTAACTAAATTTCCGCGACGCGATGGAGACGTATGTATATGGAGGCTGTGTGTATGGTGTGTATGAATAATACGTGTTTCCATGTGTGATTTAGAAGAAAAAGAAAAAAAAAAAAAAAATTAACGATGAGAGAGGTCAATGATATGTGTTTAAAAAAATATTTACCCTTAGATATATTACGCTCCATGTCGATCGATGGAGAAGTTACAGTACATGCATGCACCCACTGAAGAAGAATCAACGTGCCTTTTGCCTAACTTTTGCCGTTTCTCATTGTACTACTTTTCTTTCTTTGTTTCTTTCCCATTGCGACTCGCGAATTAGTTGATTAGCGGGACTTCCTGATGCGCAATATGTCGTTGCTGCGTCGTCAGCCGTTTTGACAAGCGTTTACCGATCAACCGATCTGAATAAATCGAGATAAAGGTAATCTATAATAGTAGGAATACAAAGAGTAGGGTTAATAACAATTAATGAACGAGAGAGGTACCTCATTCGCGTGAGCAACGTTTCGTTTCGCCCTGAGAGAACTCTTCCGGGATCGCAAACAGCGGATGCACCACATCTACGCGTTACGACTGATATCTCGGCTTAGAGTGAACGCGGCGCGCGGCGAGTCGGCGACAGGAGTCGAGAGCTCTCAATCAAGATCTTGTAAAATCCGATTTCTTTCTTTTTCTTCGTCAAAGTTGGAATCATCGTTTAAACATATATCACACGTCTTTAAAAACTAAACTATTATTCCGATACTAAATTATTATGTATATATCTTACAAGGGAGAAGAGTCTATATATTCCACTTATTAACACACCGCTAACCTGGTCTGACTAATTTGGCGAAACTTTTCGCGTTCTCATGCAAACTATGGCCGTCGACGGTGAATTCCCGAAGAACTGCTGAAGGGCTCTGGGAAACGATCGGTAGAGCTGCTCGTGAAATTCGGTACCCTCTTCCGATCACACTCGTGCTTCCGAAACAGTCGCTCAACAAAAAACACACTTCGCTACGTCGTGTCCTCTCACACACTGTGCATCACTCTAATCACATTATCACCTATAAATTACTAATAGCGTGGCTTATTAATATTACATTATCTCTCGAGGTCTCGTCGTATGTAACATTTTCTTTCTTTTTTGTTCCGTGTACACGCCCCGACAAAATCGCCCCGACAATATGTCGCGTCGCTTCGCAGAATCGGAGATTTAGTCTCACGAAGAAGTTGACGTCGAGAATCTGAATGAAAGAAAAAAAGGATGAAGAAAGCGAAGCAGAAGAAAGGTCAGCGTGCACCCGAGGCTCAGACCTTACATTCACAGCCTGACTGAGCACTCGGCTCTTTTCCTTTTCTTTTCTCATTTCGCGGCCCGAGAAACCAACACCGCCGCCTTTCGCACTAAAAGTCGTCGTTTTCTACCGCCACTATCATCACGCTTTTCCGTGACTCTCAACGCACGTTTGATTCCGAGCCCACTAACTTACGACAAAACGATATATAGGAATAACCACTTATATATCTTCCTTATATAAATTTACGTTGACCCCCTTCTCGACGCGCAGCCTCGTAATTGTTGCATATCCAGCTTAAAATAATTGAACTAACGCCAAGCCAAGATACATCGTTGACGAGAAGGAACATAAAGCGCCTGTCGCTGTTTCGCGTATAGTAAAAAAAGAAAACAAAAAGGATTCGAACACGCGCGCGCGCGCGCGAAATTACCGTCTTATAAATAATGAGTTGCATTTATTGAAAATGAGAGAAAGAGAGAAAAAAAGAGAGATAAAGATCACTCTTCCCGACACGTGGAGCGCGGTGGACTATACGAGCGATCGCAGCGAAGATGAAGGGAAAAAAATATAAAAAGATAAAAATAAAAAAAAAAAAAGAACTGAACAAGACGACGAAGAGAGACATCTAGTCTTAGAACACAGGCGCGATCGACCATCTTGGCTCCGTAAAATCCAATCTCCATCGCCAACGTTTAAAAAGAGATCACACGATTTCATCGTTACGATGACGTTACCCGCGGCGCGATCGTGGGTAACTCGCACACACGTCCCCGGAGTTGGGGTACGCTGCGCGCTCGTATCGCGCATAAAAAAAGTCCGAACGATATCCGACGTACACACATCATATACACACGCACACACGAAGAACGAGGGAGCGGCGAAGGGAAGGATTAGGAGGAAGAGGGCGAGTAGAGGTGGAGAAGTAGGAGCAGGAGCAGGAGAGCAGCGTCGTCTGTCTTTCCTCTACATGGTGTTGTAAACAGGACTGCTGTGCCTAGGCCTGACCTGCAACCTAGCGAGGGGATGGGTTCTGCCGTGTTGCTGTTGCTTCTTGCTAGCTGCCTTCGCCACCACGCTGGCCACCACCACGCTGGGCGAGGGCACCGGCGGCCTGCCGGGTGCTTCCGGCGCCTCGCTGAACAGGGACGACGAATGATTGTTGATCATGATCGGCGCGGACCGCCTGGAAAACTCCGGCGCGATCTTCGACTTGGCTGGCGGATGGACCTCCATCGAGTCCCAGTCCTTGTCCTTGTGCACACGCAGCTGCACGTCGGAGTTCTTCCTGGACTCCGGCTTAGCCACCTCGTACTTGCCCACCAACACTCTGACCGAGAGGTCCTCCATGTTGTTGTCCTGCGACGACGGCGGCGGTGTCGCGTCGCTCCTCCTGCTATGCTTGTCTTTGGTTTCGCCGACGCTGGACGACGATTGAATCTTGGACTCGTTGTGCGGTATCACCGGCGACGACGGCAAGCTTCTGATCTTCACGTCCCTCTTGGGCCGCACTGCCAACGACGCGTTCGTGCTTTCGCCTTCGCACACAGTCTCCGGGCTCTTCTCCAACTTGGTCGACTTCGCCTCAAACTCCTTCTTCAGGTTTTTGACTATGCCGGACGTGCTGCGCGGGCACTCCGTCTCCGGCGAATCGTCCACGGACAGGCAGCGTTTATTGAACACGGACTTGTTGCAAAGATTCTCCAAGACCATCTTGTGGTGTTTGACGGAGGGGCATTGAGGAGTATTGACGACGCACGGACTGGACGTCTCGCTTTCTGATCTACAGGACCTCAGAGACAACGGCAGATCGGACTCGGAGGACAATGAGGACGGCGCGGGCGCGCTGGTAGAGAGCCGTCCGATCTGGCGCATGGACGTTAGGGAGATGTCGATGCTGCCTACCGGACTCGGGGAATCTCTGTTCGCTTCTACTTTAAGATTATGTTCCTGAGTGGGCGACGAGTCCCTTCTTCGCGGCGTTGGCGACGGCATATGGTGCAGCAGCACCGGATTGTACGTATCGACCGGCACTACCGGCTCCGTCTCGCCGGACAACCTGTCGCTCTTCTCGTCCGCGCTCGAGCTCTGAGTAGTGCACACCCGCTTCACACCACCCGCAGTCGTGCCGCCTTCCTCCAATTTTTGCTTCGTGCGCTTCACCGTGCCCGGGTGCCACGGTATCTCCTCCTTATCATAGGGGAACAGGCCGCTGGAGCCGAGTAAGTCGGACGGTCGCATGTCATAAGAGCCCCAGGAACTGTTCCTCGACGGTAGCGTGGCCCACGAGCTGTGCACCGAATTGTTATCGAGCACCACCGCGCTGTCGTAACTGCTCCAGGAACTTTGCCGGCTCGGAGATTCCCTGGTCACAGGATCGCCCCGTCTCTCCTCGCGATCGAACACCCTATCCAACTGAGCGCTGAACGGATCACCGTCCTTTCTCGCTTTGTTTCCCGCAACAACGTCGGGGGGACACGTCGACGTCGTCGACGAAGCGCTTGTCGTTGTCGTAGTTGTCGTCGTCGTCGTCGTCGTCGTCGTCGTCGTCGTCGTCGTCGCCGTCGCCGCCGCCGTCGCCGCCGCCGCAGTCGCCCTCGTAATCGTCGTTACCGACGTCGTAATCGCCGCCGTCGTCGCACTCGCGATACATTCACTCTCCACACTCACGCCTCCGTTAGTTTTGTTGTCACCACACGTATCAGCACACGTTGCATCCGCGGACGCAGTCCAGACTAGACATTCACTATTATCGTTGATCTCGGTGGACTCGTTCGTCTCGTTTCGCCTCGTCTTCGGTCCCTCGCCGGGATCCCAAACTTCCTGTTCGGAAGTTCCCGCTCCTTTCGCGACGGTACTCGCAGCAGTCTCTCGTGTCTCTTGCGATTGCTCGCAATGCGGGTGGCCGTTCTCGACCGGCTTGCCGTTGTCCTCCATCGTCGTGCTCGCAGGCAGCGGCTTAGCGTCCGAGTCGGATCCCGGTGACGACGGTTTACTGCTGGCCGCCTCGAACTGATTGGTCAGATTGAGTACCAAGCCCTTCCTCTTCTGTCCCTGAGTTTCCAACTTACTAATTCTATTCTTTACGCTAGGTGTGCCGGGAGAAGGGGCGGGTAGGTGCACTATTTTGTTCTGCGACACGCTGTAGGACTGCCCGTTGTCGCAGGGCATCAGAACATTGCGCGCTTCCTGCTCTATCGCCGGCTTTTGATTCGAGCCGCGAAGAAGCTCCTCTCGCGTTACTTCCGTACTTCCCGCCTTGTCAATACTCTCCAAAGACTGCGACAAAGGAACTGCAAACACACAGGTGAAACACACAGGTGTTGTTACAAATGAATGTGGGACTGTTCGTTAATAATATACATCTCTGCGTATAGAAAGTATAGATATGCAATTTACCTCTTATGTGAAAAACTCACCGGAAGGTAACATGTTCTCAGCGATTTTCACATTGGGCGACCAACTCTTCGGTCTTTGGCTGCTCTTCTTCAACTCCGAGCCTGAAACCTCCCGCAGGTTGTTCTCGATATTGTCCGACTTCTCTTCCTTTTTTGACTGGTCCTTCACGGACGTCGGAGATTTCAGGTTCGTGTCGGACTTGGACCTCTGCAGCTTCTCCTTGTTCTTCATCGCGTCCAGGATACCTTGGTACGTTTCCAACTGCAGGAGAAAACTGTTGTTCGGCTTGATGCAATTGCGCTTCTCCTTAACGTGCTTCCACGCCTGCGAGAAGTCCCAGTTGTAAGCCTTCATCGCGTAAGCTATCACCACAGAGGCAGACCGAGACACGCCCATCTTGCAGTGCACCAGCACTTTGGAGCCTTCCTTCTTCGCCTTGGTGATGTATTTGAACGTGTTGTCCCAATGCTTCAACAGGTCCGTCTTCTCGTCATCGTACACACGCACGTTCAGATAGGTGAACATTCCCGGGAAGAAATTGTCGATCTCTCGAGTGACGTTCAAGATGTGCCTTACGCTGAAAGCACACGATAAAATGTGATATACGAGCCGAGTGTCTGCAAGACTATATTTCAATCAAACCACACTCAAGTCGGATTAAATGGCACCTGTTCATTATACACAGTATTTCTTCTCACTTGCAGTTTGTCACATATGATGGATTTTTAGTCTTTCAAATAATTGAAATTGCTCGAGTGAGTATTCTCGTACACTTCAGGAGTTCACTTCGGGAAAAGACTCGGGAGAAAGATGAGTCTAATATTTGAAGGTGCAATTTAATCTGTCGTATATTATATCTGGCGTGGAATAATAGCTTGTGCGCGGCACAGCTGCTGGTGAAATTATCGGATAAACGTGTGAATATCGAAAGTACGCGGGCGCTATTTTATCACGTAACAAGATTAAGAACGATCATAAAATTTTCTCAGGGCAGCGCGCGCGAGGTGACACGCCACCTCGTATTATATATCCGGCGCACTGATATCGAACGTACCCATTTTTCTGCAGTTCCTCTAAATTGCTGGCGTTCCACTCGCTCCCGAGATAGACATGATCGAATATCTCGGTTGGCGCATCCATTTGCCCCAGTATGGTGAGCATCTCCTGATCGATAAACGGCTTGAATTCTCCAAGGTCCATATCGAGATCCTCCTCAAGTCTGCCCCTAATGTATTTGGAAGTAACCTCATCGAGATCCACGGACATCATGATTTCCTTCAGCGTAGATCGAATCACGCGCTCGGTCTCCTCTCTTTCCCTGGGCCTTGAGTTTGCACAAGTAACTTCATTAGTATCTCGCGATAATCGCGATCAGTATTATCTCGCGCAGAAATTGATCTCGCACGCAAAAACTGCAGCTTCGAGCATTCTCAAAGACACGCGATCACGGTATGGCGGAATGATACTTCCGTTTGATAAAGAGGGAGGGGCGGAAAACGAGGAGGGGGGGGGAAAAACGTTTGTGTCATAACTTGATGACTCTCTCCTCTTTTTACCAAATAGCATTCAGTAGAAATCATCGAATTGTAATACAAATTACCCGACACGTACACGGATACTCGCTGATGCATCTCCCGTATAAATTCCCTTCATTACGAAATATAAGATACACAACGAGGGTCGCACTTTTATTCCCGCCGCGGGCTTTATGCCTGCTCATGTCCGAATCATTTCGCAATTATTCCATATTCCCGTGCGGATACGCGCGCCGGCCGGCGGGAGATGATCACGCCGAGATAAACGATACTAAAAATGGACTCGCGAGCGGGGTTCTCGCGCGACGATAAATAGAGGTAGCCCGAAAGTAGAACGTAGCGGAAGACTCCGACGGCGGCGGAGAGACGACGATCGATCACCGCGCGCGCGTATAGTCCGGGATTTCGTAATGCCGGAATCCAATAGTCGACGTGCGTGACCTGATATACCGTTGAATGTTTAGCGCTCGAAACGGCAGGGCGAGCGCAGAAACTGGAAATAATTGAAGGACGGCTGTAAAGTTATGCTCCACTTGTGCGCGCGATCGCGGCGCAGACACCCAGAGAACGCGCGCGCATCAACAAACCGTCCGGCTCTGGCACGGCACCAAGTTAAATTCGCAGTGGCCAGCTGCTCACCCCGGCGGATCGTCTTATATGTCCAGCGCGAAATCGATTTCGTCCGAACCGGTGAAATACGTCTCGGCGACGGCGACGGCGAAGATCGCGTGTCCGCGTGACGCGCGCCGGGGCGACATCGATTATTCCGCGACACGCACCTTCGCTTCGTATCAACGTGGGGATTTGCTCGATAAAGCCTCGCTTTTCGCCGCGAGTTTTCGTTTCAGGAGGGCACTACGATAAACGAGAGAGAGAGAGAGAGAGAGGGAGGGAGGTAGAGAGAGAGAGAGAGGGAGAGAGAGAGAGAGAGAGAGAGAGAGAGAGAGAGAGAGAGAGAGAGAGAGAGAGAGAGAGAGAGCGTCTCGACTCACTTGGTGCGTACGCTGTCCGGTGACGGCGGTCTCTTGGACTCCAGATTGTCCATGGCGTGCCACTCGTTGAGGCACGACCGATCGCTCTCGATTCGTTGCTCATAGTAGCTGACCCAGTCGTGAGACAGTCCACCTAGAAAATAGTTTTGCTCGCGTGCCTTACCGGACACCTTGTGCAACGTCTGCAAGGCTGACCTGGAAAAGAAGATGAACGAATTTAGTTGGAGACGATTCTCTTCTCTCTCGCGCGGCAGAGCGAGAAGTAAACTTGAGCAATAATGCTGCACGAGGACGAGACGAGCGGCAGTTTCGCGCCGTGACGCGAAAACAAGTAAGATTCTTAAAAGATAGAAAATAATTGAGGAGGAGGGGGACCGAGAGAGAGGTGTAGTAGCCGCAACTTGTGCGCTCTTTCGACGCCCCGATTGCCGACGCGATCGCACTTCTCTAAAAGCACGCGCGCTTTTCAACACCGAGATTACCGCTGCCGCAATTTCACAGAGTCTACGTAGGCAGTCTGAAAAGTTCTCGACCTGACACGTACATGGCATTAGAAACTGCCAAACTATAATTGTAAACCCATGTAAAATTTTATTCGATCTGTCAAGTCATTCGAATAGTAGCACCAGTTGAAGAAGTTTTCTGCAAGATAGGTGTGCCGCACACCTTTTGGTTTGCTAACAATTGACCAAAAACGCGCATTCGAATGCGTATTTCTCCTCAAGCGTGTTTGGCACATTTTAATCGTTTTCAGCAGAATAAAATGGATTTCAAACGTCGTCTCATGACTGTCGATGAAACTTGGATCCACCACTATACATCAGAGCGAAACGGGTCTTCCGGAATCACATTTAATGATGGTATTGAATTATTGGAAAAACGTTGGAATAAATTGGAATATATTGAAGTTTCAGGAGATTATATTGAAAAATAAAAAAAAATATATCTCGCGGCAAAAGAAATTTTCTTTCATTGTTAGGCCGACAACTTTTCCCCGACTGCCCTCGTACAACGTTTCACGACGTTGTACGACGCAAGATACGACGAAATGTGAATCGGCGCATCTTCGGAAATCGACGGAAGTTACCGTCTCCCGAGAGAACAAAGAAAGCAAGGGTACTTTCTAAACGCGCGCGTGGGGCCGTGGCGGTTTACAAGAAATACCTTTGTGTTCCGGATTTCGTCGGGCACGGGCCGAGAGTCGATCTTGCACCGCGCGAGAGCGCGGCGCTGTACCCTTCGGAATTACCATAACTAGTCACTTTCCCGCTCGCCCTGAAATCTATTCTATACGAGCAACGAGCGGTTCCCACGCGGCGTAATGTCCGCGCTGCGTAAGCGGACATCAAGTAAAAAAGGAACAAAAAATATTGGCCAACGCTTGAGAACAGGAGCGCGCACAGAAACGTTGCGCTGCTCTTCAGTCTGCTAAGGCCGCCGGCAAAGCGAGTGATTGTCGCGGGAGGACAATGCGTGAGTCGAAACTTTGCCTCAAGAACTCGTGACGAACAGATATACGGCGCACGCGGGGAAATTCGGCGAGGAAGCGAAAGAGGGACGGCGACGAGGGGAGAAGAATTCAAACGGACCGCGCGAATTTTGCGGCTTGCAGGGGGAGAACTTGGGCGTTCGTTGCGCGTTCGCGAGATTTTTCAGTCGTAACATTCGCTAAATGAGCGGACTCGTGTACAATCTCATATGCATGTGTGTATGATGTCATCGATATATGTCGCTAAGCACAGTTAAACCGCTCATTGATCCGTTCTAGTAGAACGCAAGTCTCACAAACGTTGTAGCGCGCGTGTGTGGTGATAAGATACGCGGAGCGTGGCTGTGGGACCTAAAAAATGCGTCGAGAGCAAATTTTTCACAATTTACTCCGATCGCTGCAATTTAAGCGCGATAGCCGATTGTGCCGCGAAGGAAAGCGAGCGCCGCGCATATTTATCAGGGATCTCACGATATTCCTCGCGATATTTATGCTCTCTAAAGTAGGTAATATTTCTTTCATATTCCTTTTCTAAACTTGGCCGCGTTCACCGTCCGGTTTCTACTCTAAATCAACAAACCAGTTTACATTGCCAATCACTTCCTCCTTGTAAACGAGGCGACCGGGATTTCCTGTCTAATACTTTTGCGCGCTCGCTCGGTGCCTATCGCGAACTCACACCCGCCGTCTCGCGTAAAACGTATTATATAATAGCTAAGGAGCAAAATGTTACGAGCTATTTGTTATCCACGTTTGAATATTTCGAGACGCCGATGAACTCTTTCCAATCCTGTCGACTCACGTCTTCGACGTACTTTTCCGAGAAGTTGGCAAATCGTCGGAGAATCCGTCGAAGAGCGATATTTCGCCGCGACCAGTTGCGAACAGTGAAAAAAGGTGAAATCGCGAAGATTCCCGTTCGTTTCCCGCATTTCGCCCGCGTGTCTAATAATAGAATATATGCTGCCAAATAGAATATAGACGCCACTAGAATGGACTTTCCACCCCGTGGAGGTCACTACTCAACGTCGCAAACATCATTTTGAAATATTTCGAATCGGGAGCGAGTGGACTAAATTTATTCGTCTACAAAATTACCTTGTCTCAATTTGCTCGCGAGAGAGGCGCATAGGGAATTTAGCGCCGTTGTGTCGTCTAATGAAACGGAGCGTAGGAAAAAAAATTTTGTATCTCTAACAAAACTGTTTAGTTAAGGCATTTTTTAATAACCATGCAACCAAATATCTTGTTTTATATAACAAAATATTTAGCTGTCTCAACTAAATATATTTTTCTGCTTTGTTCTCCTGGACCAAATGATTTTGTTCTTGGACTTCATATATAAAAATTAAGCATTTTAATTATTTTATTCATGAAAATTACATAATAACGAAAGATTATTTTACATAAACCAAAATAATGCCCAATGGATACTATTTTGTCTTTCTGTGCACTAAAATTTAGACTTTATATATTAAGAAAAAAATTATAGTATTTTTAACAAAATTCATATAGTTAAAGCTTTTCAGTTGCTATAACAAAAGTATCACGTTATACGAGCAAACCGTAATCAAACAAGATATTTGTTTACAGCAACTGAACACAGTTTTGTTGGGCATATTTTAACCAAATCTTTTTGTTGTTGCAACAAAACTTTGGTTCACGCAACAATACATTTTTCCTAGTGTATATTTCGCGACACGCGTTTTTGAAAGAAGGCAAAGATTATGCTTCTCTATCTTGAAGAGTGAGAGGGGGGAGGGGGAAGAAAGGGAAGGTACAAAAGTCATTTGACATTTGGCGCAACGAGAGGTAAGAATAAATCTTGGGAAATCACTCGACCGGGTGACGGAGAAGACGTCATTTGAACGGATTCGCGGAGCAAATTGCGGAATATTTTTGGCGGCATGAACCGCGGTAATCTCTTGATTCTTATGAGGTATATTCAGAGTTTCGTTCACACTGTGGCAGCGTATAACCTGTTCTTCTATAATAATCTCAAACCGGTCTCTCGCGCAACGTGAGCATTCCCGCGGACGTGCGGGGACTCAATTTCGCAGTTTTTCCGGAGATTAATCAGCACGCGCTACAAAACTACGAGCCCCCCCTCTTCCCCCCTTGATTTTCGACTGCGAATCGCTGGAAAAATGGAGTGTGTGTGTGTGTGTGTGTGTGTCTGCACTGAGTTAATTACCAAGCCGGAGTTTTAGGAGCTCGAGAGAGCTCGAGCGACAAAAAAGCGTTCACGATACCGAGCGCGTTGCTGCGCTAATAAATCTAAACTTTTACCTGTAGTGTGATGAAATACGTTTCTACCGCGGCATGTTCAAGCGCGCGAATGTAAATTTCAGCCTTTCCCGAAGCAGAGACACTTCTCACTCCTTCGCCGAGATTTTCCCAAGTCTCATCCTACTGTTCTCGATATTGTCGCTCGCGAGAATCGACGTTCCTCCTCGGTTCCTTCGCGGCGTCGCGGAGCTTACCCCCTCCTTCGCCCCCTCCGCGCTCTTTACAACGCGAGAAACCAGCCGACAAACGTTTTCGACGACGCGCGACCGTCCTGAGCAACGAAGAAACCTCGGGACGTCGTTACCGCTGGCGCTCGACCATGACCACTGCTGCCGTCGCGTAAGAAGAAAGCGTGATCGAAGATACCCCCCCCGAACGCGCGACGTCGACTCGTTTTCGCACCGCGGCCTTCTCCGCAGAATCATCCAAACGTAATATCTTACGGGACGCGCCGATTATCCCCGGCTTTACGCAGTCGGTCGGAGGCCTCGCCGGAGCTCGCGGCGCCTCGCGATCTGTTCCCGTAAGTAATTGCGTTGCCTGTGCTTTGTTATCGTCGACGAGCTGGCGGCGATAAGAAGCTTGACAGCATACGCGCGTTAGACATGGTAATCGGCATCGTAAGAGTCCCGTCTCGTTCACCGAGATGTAACGCACGCGGAAATTGCGGTTACTGTTGCGAGAGCGATTGTTGCGAGCGCGACCGACATTCTCTCTCTCTCTCTCTCTCTCTCTCTCTCTCTCTCTCTCTCTCCCCTTCCGCCCCCTCTCTCTCGGAATACAAAATTTGCGAAAAAAAAATATTTATTTGATAAATATTGTAAATCTATTAATACTTAATCATTTATTACTGTAAAAGCAGTGAACTTCGATGCATTAACTTGAAAAATTATAATTCTTTTCAAAAATAATACCGCATATTTAACTGAACTGAATAACATATAAGATATATTACTATTACTATATTATCATAATAACCAGATTATTTTTATCTTTCTAGCGCTATCTCGTGCGAGCGAGACGGCACGAAGCCGAGAGAAACAACGCGATATTAGCGCGCGTCGGCATCGAAAAATTGTTGCTTGAAAAGTTGCAAGTAACTGCAGCCAAATTAAAGTTACCTATTTTCTTTGAACATTATATTAAATATTTATAATAACTTTTTTCGTTCTTAAGCGTTCCTTCATTTCGTACGGAAAATTTAGTTCGAAAATTGTTCAAGTTTTAAGTACTCTTATTATGTATAATGTCGTAATGCATTTAATAATAATTGATGTGTTTCAAACATGTAATTTTATACATTGAGGTATACTTATAAACATTTATAAACCGCGTTACTACATTTCAATAATAAAAAAAGATATCAAATTTTAAAAGGTTCGAATTTCAGTAATAAAATTGAGCACTTAACTTAGTC